CGAAGGCAGTCACCATTGAGAAACTGGAGTTGTGCGCAACTTCAGTTGGCCTTCACGAGTAGAAGACGAAGGCGAAGCCACACTACGAGGATCGGCGAGATCGTCGAGATATTGTTGATTGAAAGAAGAATTTTTTCGGGGAAAAGATACATGCGAAGAAGGGGAGAGTTCGGGTGAACTCATTGCAGGCACTTTGGTCTCCAAGTGGGAGATTGTTAGTCTAAGTGTGTAGACCCGAAGCTGCAATCGAAAAGACGAAGAAAACAGTCAGAAGACTGTGCGGTCGACCGCAGTGGCAGAGCCGGTCGACCGCGTGCACTGCAGGAGACTGAGAAGAAGTTTTCGCTCTGGTCGGTCGACCGGCGTGGCCGCTGCGGTCGACCGCAAATGTGCACAGGACCCTGTAAACAGATTTTTCTCTGGCCGGTCGACCGGCCTTGGCACGGCGGTCGACCGCGAATCGCCCAGACAGTTTCCTGATCTGTTTAGGAATCTGTTTCAACCAGGATTCTATATATACCCCAAACGATTTTAGGGTTTGTACTACATCAAAAAGAGAGCTTTTTGACTGCAAAGAGAGAGAGAATCTCAGAGAGATTTACCCCTTGTTTGAGAGCTTGTATTTTCTTCTTCAATTAATAAAAAGATGCGGAGAAGCGGGACATATATAGTCAGAGAGTGGGAGGCTCTAGGATGTTTTCTGTGAGATGATCTGACAGATCCAGCCAATGCGTATAGTCGTATTTACAAGATGCTTGGAAATCCGAATGAGGACGGTGAAGATGCTTGTCATATTTACAAGAGGAAGGTAATGCATGACTAAAACCGGAAAAAGAGATAACAACAAAGCAATAAATAAACTAACAGCTCTTGTTTGGTTTAAACCAACAAGGGAGGAAAATAGCGAAGGCGGTGCTGCCTCGGCCTTGCAATTCAACAAAGCATGCATTAACTGCTAATGACTCATGAAATTAGAAAGAAAATTAAATGCATCTTCTTTTCTTGTCTCCTAATTCATAAGGATTTGGATCCTCTCCACTACAAAAAAGTAGTGGAGAGACCACTGCTTTTAATCTCAATCGTTGATTATTTAGTAGGCGGTTATGATACAATCTAAATTTAACACTTATCATACCCCCGTGTATCACTAGTAGAATAATGAATATTCTCGACGGATTATTGCCGACGGAAAATTTTCCGTCTAGAATAATTTATTCTAGACGGAAAATTTCCGTCGAAGAAATTCCGTCTAGAATATTATATTCTAGACGGAAATTTCCGTCTATAATAATATTGCAGACGGAAATTTTTTTTAAATTTTTTTTTGAATTTTTTTTTTGAAATTTCCGTCTGTAATAGTATTGCAGACGGAAATTACCGTCTAGGATATTAGGTTCAGTTTATATAACTTAAAACCAACATCGAGAGCCCTAAATCCCCAAAATTGGCCATCTTCCCCCATTTCTCAGCCTACTCCTCCTCCAATCGTCGATCTCGATCAAAGCCTTGACCACGAGCACGAGATCGCTCGAGCACGAGATCGCCGCCCCTCTATCAGATCCCCGACCACGAAGCCTCGCTCGAGCACGAGATCGCCGCCCCCTCTCAGATCCCCGACCGAGCAGCTCACAGCACCGACGGCGAGACTTCTCCGGCGTTCGTGACCCCAGACCGAGCAGCTCACAGCACCGACGGCGAGACCCCCTCTCAGATCCCCGACCGAGCAGCTCACAGCACCGACGGCGAAGGTCTTCTCCGGCGCTCGTGACCCCCTTCTCTGGCGTTCGTGACCCCAGATTTGAAGTGAAACACCGCCTCCTCCATTTCCCTCTCAGAGGTATGAGATTTGTTTCTTTATGCTAGGTAGAAACTCTAGGTGCTATGTTTCATTTGAGAGAAAAATGGCAGTTATAGCAATTATTATAAATGACACATCATAACTAATATACATTTATTCTCAATGTTCATGTAGATTTTCCTCGATATGTTTTTTCTTATTGAAGTTGAAGTTGGTATGTTGAATAACATTGAACTCCATGTATGGATCAGAAACATATATAATATCGAACTGTAATCAAACGAACGACATACATAATCATTTATGTTCACCCTTTGCAAGAACATATCATGGTGCCATGTTTCAAGTTTTAAGCTTAAAGGTGTCACTTCTCCTGACCTCATATTCATGCGACTCCAAAGCTGGTTTCATTCTACTAACGCATCATGGTATTTTGTTATTGTTTGTACTTATGTTCTCTATTTGGGATCCATATAAAATGATGACTTATGTAACATCTAGAGGGGGCAAATGGTAAGTCAAGGATCAAGTTAAAACTTTTTATATCCTACTTCTTATATGATACTTCTTATACGATACATCACTGCTAGTAAGGTCATGATAGGAAATAAAGTAAATTCTTAAATGGAATATCACTGCTCTTTGTTTTCTAGTACTCATTTCATTCCAAGGCTAGCTCATTCTAGCATGCTTTGTTGGAGTAATTAGTAGGAAATGAACATAATTGAACTTAGATGTATTAAAATTTTTAGAAATTTCATAAACTGTAATTTAGGACTAATTTGCATTTGCCAATGAACATTTTACTTCTTTTTTCTAACCAAGCAATGAGACCAAAAGAAAATTTCAGTTAGTTTCTATTGGCTTTATTGTTTTTTCTTCAAAAGACAACATCGAATAGGAAGCCTATAATGAAAATGTGAATACGTAAGACATGACAACTTAACAAGTATGTATTAACATTTAAAATTCCTAATAAAAATAGGATACAATTACAACATTAACTTTATGCCTTCTAATGTTTGTTAGCCTACTGACCCATTTCCTCATGAGCATACTTTCAAACATTTGCGGGGGAAATTCACTCCCAAAAAACTTGAACCCAATATCAGTTCTTATGCAAGCCATGGGATGAACTTCCCAACTACAGTACATAAGTATTGCATGGCCAAAATACCTTAACTAACAAAAGCATGTTATTAAAAGGAAACTTTTGGTTCCTGTACGCTGAAGAGGAAGAAGCAGTTTGGAATGGGCAGTGAAACGATATATGTTTTAGAAAAAATATATAACTCAAGATGACTCTTAATTGAACGACTGAATGCATTACATTATGGTGCTCATTAAACTGGTGCCTATCGTAGATCGTTATGCTGATCTTCAAGTCTAAGAGTATACATAATATTCTGACTAACTTATCTCCATTTTGATTATTATGAGTCTATAATGATGTCAATAACTCGGTTCAATACGAAATATAGCCATTGTTGTAGAAGGTATATTATGTATGTCATTTAAATGTTTAATGCCATGTAATGTTTACTCTTGTGAATTAGTAGGCAAATTTTCATATTGAACTCTGCTAATTCCATGTTACGATGAAGAACTCGAGGTTTTCGATCGATCACAGTGATCTGGTCACGATCTACGAGCCTAGGCTCAGAACAGCTTCAGGAGGCCCTAGGCTCAGAACAGCTTCAGGAGGCACGCATTTCATCCCATACGGATAGTGGTATGGATTTCAATTATCTTTTACAACTCAAAGTAGACATATGAAACATCATTTAGGCTAAGTTGTTTTTATATGAGTAGATGATGCGGAATTATCGGGTCGTCTACGGGACACGACTCTAGCATTCTCGCCTCATATAGGTATTAATCATATATGTGTTTGTAATATTTATCCAATCATATTTAAAGTCCAGCTTTTGTATTTAAAATCTATTGTATGTTAGCAATATTAATTTTTATTTACATAGATAATTTGGCAGGCATTGATTTTTCTTCACCCGGAGCCACTGATTCACATGCAGAGTCCTCCCACACTGAAGGTAATGGTGTCGCAATATATTTATTTTTGCTTTGCATCTCAATATAATGATCCTTCAATTTTCTCGTATTGATTATCTTCTTTAATCATTGTAGAGGGTTCTTGGACACCATCGTCTTCGCATGATACGCAGGGGGCCGAGTTGCGTTTGTGGACCCCTGACATCCCCCATCTACCATTGCCTCCAGACTCGATCATATCAAAGACTAATGCTTTAAAGTTTCATCCGCTTGCACTCATAAGGCTAGATGAACTAAAGCCTATGATGACCCTTAGAAAGAGACTTGCAATCGAAGCAAGGGATAGAGAAGTGGCGAGGGGTACGTTAAATAATTTTGTCCCATTGTTTTCACCTTTTCATCACGTAACTTCTGTTGTCAATGTAGGGGCAAAGCGAGATGCAACTGGACCTGGAGGACGTGGTGGAAGCAAGCCTGATTCCAAACAGGCACCGAGAGACTTTCGGGGAATTCTTCAGTGGGTTGATAACTTGCCGATCGGCCCGTGGTCAAAAAAATTTAATAACTACATCGGCGTTTTAGTACGGCGGGCTCAAGTCATAAACCCGTACTTCAAATTCAAGGAGCTTCCATGGTCCGCATACGAGGATATATGGAGAGAGTTGATGGTATATGATGATTACTTCTTTAATTTTTTTTTTGATATAGAATACGTTTACAAAATGCTTAGATATCTTATATTTTTACATGCAAAATTGTAGAAACACTATTGTCTTGAGGACTACCCTAGGGCGTGGCACTATGTTTTCAATATCAAAGTTGAGGCCGTGCTCAAACAGTGGCGACATGAGCTGAAGATATCAACATATGATAAATATACCCAAGACTGGCAGAGATTTTTAAATCTCGATGAGAGGGTGGATCTCGATCATTTCACGGCTCTTCTTTTTTATTGGGATACCGAGTCCGCACAGGTACGAGTACATTATCAGGTTGCGTACATGAGCATATTGTAAATGCAATTTATTTTTAACACGCGTAATTTTTGTAGGATAAATCTAAGAAGGGCTCGACGAACCGACATAACAAGCGCAAGCTTGACCACCACTTGGGATCGAGGTCCTTTGCCAACCTTGAGTATAGACATTGTCGAGACACGGTATAATATTTAAAGTTGATGTATTCACATGCTAACACCTTCAATTTGGCCAAACTCTTCGACATTTCCTATTATATTTTGTAGGGGAAGCCGATAATGCCGATCAATTTGAAGGCAAAGTTAGCTTACGGCACATTTCACTCAACATATAAAGATGAAGAGAAGATTAAAGAAAACATGGTGTTGGTGGTAATTATTTTTCAACAAATATAAATTAATAACTATTACGTTGTTGTACATTTCATTAATTAGGAGTTTAAACTTTTGTAACTTGAAATCATTATTTGCCAATTCAATATATATCTATTTTCTGTATGTGATTTAGGATAATATTGCTGCCGCGTCGAAGGATGCAGCACTACGTGCTACCCAAGAAGCTGCTGATGACCCTCATGTTTTGTCAAGAGAGGAAAGTAATGCCATTGCAATGAATGTGATGGGGTATAATAACCGGGGCAGATTTCCATTGATGGGGGTTGGAGCTCAGCGGGGTACCTCCAGAAAATCCTCCACGGCATCCTCGACAACCTCGACTGCAACTACATCATCAAACAGAACTCACACCACTTCTACAATTATGCGCGTCAACCGTTATCTGCGCGGTAAGATCGACCCTACTTTACTCATGCAGATGACGACGGCTATGTGTTCAGATTTGCCTCCATCCCCTACTAGCGACGATGTTTTTAGACACATCGTTTTATGCTTGTCCGGGAAGATTTCAGCTGAATTATTTGGAGAAGTTTTGGACCAAATAGATTTAGACGCTGGCGCACAGGTAAATTAATAATATGTCTTATATTGTTAAATATCGTTCTCTAAATGTAAATCTATTAATTTTCAGGCTGGACTTGCTGGAAAACATTCAGGTTGTTTGTATAATTGCATGCATATGTTATCCTAGCCAACACATTTGTTTAGTATTTCTTCTCAAAGCAGTGAAATCTTTGAAGGTATCCTAATATATATATATATATATATATATATATATATATATATATATATATATATTAGGATACCTTCAAAGATTTCACTGCTTTGAGAAGAAATACTAAACAAATGTGTTGGCTAGGATAACATATGCATGCAATTAGTTGACAACCTGAATGTTTTAGTTGAAATTTGCATGCAAAGGAGATTTAATCATATTTGTACATAATATGAACATGCTGATGGACATGTTTCTTTGAATACATGTTTGTGATAATACTTCCCTATCCCGCTTGCATTTTACTTTGAATACATGTTTCTTTATTCCGTATTTGTTTAAAACATGCTGATGGACATGATAGTGGTAAATTGAATACAACTGAATACTATTTGGATATACTTAATTACTAACATATGTTTCAAGGATATTATTTTCTACATGACTTCGTATATGGGGTATCACGTGTATGAAAAGACAAGCTTATTTAAATTTTAATTTTTTTAACAGTTTCATTAAAATATTTTAATGTAAGTCTACAGAGACAGAGACAGAGCCGACAGTATTCTTGATACATTCACTCTGCACTGTCATTATTTTCTTATGGGAAATGAAGTCAGTGGTAGCTTTGATTTACTTGCTGTCCATGTCTATCCTCTAGCTTTTTTCAATTTGACCCTGCTGTTAGTATCTGAAGCTAGTTTATGTTGTTGTTTTTTTTTTGAGGTAAAAGCTATTGATAGTCAGACATGCTACAGACATCCCATGATAGGATGCATAATTCTAAGGCACACATTCAAGTTACTCTATCCAGTTTCTTTTGTTTTCAAGGCTGTTCTTGAGTTGTTATAATTCTGATACCTCTATCTCGATGCTTTTGGGTAAAAGCTACAGCCGACTAGCTGTAAAATCTAAGCTTGCTACGAACTTGGACATCATTTGTCTTATTTATGCTTGTTTTGATTTTTTTAGCTCCACCATTCTTGGACTACATCAATATGCCTGCAATTCAATGTTAGTTTCTTGGAAGTTTGGTAGCTTTCGTTATGCTTAACTTGTCACGATATCTCAGTTATATGACAAGTCAGGTTTGATTTGGTTCAAGGTTTGCAAGGTTTGATTCATTCAAATTTTCTTCTTGTTTGACTGAATGAAATTCCCCGAACTTTACTGTACATGTTTCAATCATTCCATTTTCCTTCAGCTCCGACCAAAATTACCAGAATCTCCAGTAATATGAAGCACATTTCCCTTCCTAACCTCATCTGCTGATATTTTCAGCTTTCAGGTCCTTTTGTTTTCAAATTTTCGGTTTTCAAACGGTTTTGCTTTCTAAAAAATGGGGATCCTCTGTATGTTATGGCCACCCAATGAATATTATTTGGATTGCATAATCGCTGCGAGAGTAAAGTGCTCTCACAATAATTTTTAAAGCATCTGCATGATTTAGGCGTTGAACATAAATGTAATTATGAAGTTAAATGTTCCTATTTTGCTGGTTACTTCATTCTGGTTATTAGTTACTACTCATATATTTTTTTTTCATTCTGAAGTGAACACATCTGTTATAATGTTTTTGTGAGACAAACAACTTGAAATGACCTCATTCTCTACAGTCTTTTGCTGAGTTCTGTTTAATATGTGCAGTTAAGTGGTTGATTGAAGGGGGGAAAATAAAAGAAAAGCATTGACTCAATTATGTAGAGTAAATAATCAAAGCACAATCTTCACTAACATTTCATTCCATTTGCTCACTTTACCAACATCGAAGTATTTAGTAGAATGCACACTTAATAGTTTACGTACGCATGTTTCTGTTGTTGTAGTTCCCATAACAGTAGATAAGTTGCATATGTTTTGTTCTTTCTATGTTTATTCCATTTGCTCACTGTTACCCCTTCGTTGTAGGAACGGTGGCAATCACTTCTAAGCCAAGGGAGGAGTGTTATTGTTGTTGGTGATCTCTAGAGGAAAAAATGCTCGTGGACTTGGATATCGGTTTGTCATATTTTTAAATAATCATGTGTGACTTTGTTGTGGAAAAAATAATCATGTGTGACTTGGATATCGGTTTGTGTTGAGCCCAAAAACAAACAGTGAGTTGATTGAGTCAGTTTACAAATTTATATGCGTATGTGGATGATTATAAGTTGGCAGACGAGAGAGATGGGAGAGATGATATGTATATGTGATTTTTATGTGTGACTTTGTTGTGATTTTTATTGTTGATTATATATGTGATTTTTATTGTGAAATTTGTGTGATTTTTATTATGAAATATGTGATTTTTATTATGAAATGTGTAAACTGGATTATACAGGTATTTGTGTGAAATTTGTGTGATTTACAGCCAATTTGTGTGAAATTTGTGTAATTTCCAGAATGATTTACAGGTATCCCAGACGGATTTTTTACATCCCAGACGGAAATATCCGCCTGGGATGTAAAAACGTCTGAGTTGATATTGGACAACCCAGACGGAAAATTCCGTCTGGGTTAAGTATCCCAGACGGAATTAAATTCCGTCTGGGATATGGTTAAGTATCCCAGACGGAATTAAATTCCGTCTGGGATACTTAACCCAGACGGAATTTTCCGTCTGGGTTGTCCAATATCCCAGACGGATATTTCCGTCTGGGTTAAATAACCCAGACGGAAATTTCCGTCTGGGATGTTGATTAAGGCAGACGGAATTTTCCGTCTGGAAAATTCCGTCTGCATTACTTATTACAGACGGAAAAATTCCGTCGCTTAAGTATTACGGACGGGTTTTTTTTTCGTCTAAAAAATTCCGTCTGCATTACATTATAGACGGAATTTCCGTCTAGAATAACTTATTCTAGACGGAAATAAATTAGACCCGTATTCCAGACGGAATTCCGTCTGGAATACATTTTCTAGACAGAATTCAAGTTATTCCAGACGGAATTTTCCGCCTGGAATAAGTCGTTTTCTACCAGTGTATTGCACTCATTCCTAATTTGCACTAAAAGAAAAAATCACAACCATTAACTAGATAATCAATGGCCATGATTATGTAGTGGTCCCTCCACTATTTTTTTTGTAGTGGAGAGGATCCGGATCCAATTCATAATTGCTTGGTAAAAATAAGGAAATGTGTTTGACATGGATAATAGCTAAGGGCTAGAAAGAGATGAATAATAGCTGCTTCCAGGTCAATAGTTTAGTGATGAATAAGACATAATCACATACTTGTAAATACTAACTTGAATTGGAAAATAATTCCTTTATTTTCAAAAGAATAGTATAGACGGTCAGCCGACAACTTGTTTTGAGCTGATCCAAGTTATTATACAAGTTTTTCCCCACTTACGTCATGTCCCAGTGGTTAACCAACAGACTCAATGCACGTTGATCATCAAGTACCAGCTGTCAGCTCTAAAAGAATATAGAGAAACAGATGCGTAAGTTTTTAAAAATAAATAAACAAATCAATTATGTTGTAATGATAAGCATCATGGCCTTAGGAATACAAGTCAAAAATCTGCGGCTACGTACTAAAAGTTACACACGATGTGCACATTAGACATATATAATTACCCTAAAAATACTATCCCTACGAAGGTGCTCTGCGCAACATAGAATAATAATAAGTAAAAACAGTAAATTCATGTCCACTCATGTACAAACCCACCATCAGCTATGTAAGAAGAAGAAAGAGGTCAGGTAAGAAAGAACATGAACAAATGTTCTTTCTACGGAAGAAATGTGGGACCAATGGAAGGAGGTGGATCTCAGAGCCAGCCACAGAGAGAGAGAGAGAGAGAGAGAGAGCGCATTAAGGAGACTGAAGTTATCAACTGAATCATGTTCAGCAGAGGAGGAGGGGACATGAAGGAACAAATTGTGTCCTCGAAGGGGGCTGTAGCAAGAGATGATCTCCTCGAAGGTACCGTAATAAACCAGTAAAATAAAATAAAATGAATACATGTCGAGAGTTTCAGTGAGAGATCGGTTCACCACTCATGTGAGAGGAGGCCACGGCTCAAGGAAGAAGATGTCAGAGCCCAAGCCGCCCACATGTTGATAATCAAGAAAAAGCAGCAGCCATCTTTGAAAATTTGAGAAGAAAACAAAACAGTGGGCCCCACTGCTACAGTAAAATATTAATATTTTATTGTGCATAGTGTTTTTCTAAAAACTATAAATAGGGCTCCAAATCCTTAAGGAAATCTCATCCCAGAAACAACTTCTTATATAAGAAGAGTGAGAGAGAAAAAAAATAGAGAGAGTTTCTCCTTGTAAAGAGAGAGTTTGTAACTCTAGAGTTTTTTCCTCATAGTGAATTCTTCTATCCTTGCCCGTGGACGTAGGCAATCAAGTGCCGAACCACGTAAATCTGTGTGTCTAACATTTTATCTTTACTTTTGCTCTACTATTGCTGCGACCCTGCTCTATTAGGCCCCGGGTTTGTCCCAACAAGTGGTATCAGAGCCAACTTAGGGTATTTGTATATATCTACTTATCGTATGCTCTGTGGCTGTCACCAAAGGTGGATCCTCCACATCAGAAAATAAGTTAGGTTATCACTTACCCTTTGGAGGTGACGGGTACTATTCACGAGTACGGTACTGTTCACAAATACGGTACTATTTACAAGTACGATACTATTCACGTATACGGTTACTGTTCATAAATACAGTACAATTTACGTGAGATAGTAAGAAGTTACTTTTCGTGGTAGAAGCAATGGCGGCGAAGTTCAAGATCGAGAAATTCGACGGGAGTAATTTCTCACTGTGGAAGTTGAAGATAAAGGCTATCTTAAGAAAAGATAATTGCCTGGCGGCCATCGGTGCAAGGCCGGACGACATCACAGATGATAAGAAGTGGAACGAGATGGACGAAAATGCTATTGCAAATCTCCATCTGGCATTAGCAGACGGGGTGCTGTCAAGCATAGAGGAGAAGAAGACAGCAAAGGAGATCTGGGATACTCTAACAAAGCTATATGA